GTTATTTTAGAGCTTATAATTGTCAAACGATTGATTACTTTAGAACTTGTAATTGTCAAATGACTGACTCTGGAGGGGGCTATAATTACGTAATAAGTGATAGTTCCCATGGTTATCGAAAAAGAGTATAGAAATTTGTGAAGGAATGGGACCAGATATTGTTAAAGGTGTGGCACAACGTTATAATGATCTTATGAAAAGATGCTGGGACAATGATCCAGAGAAGCGGCCAAAAGATTCAGAAATTTGTGGGCTTATATAACTTTGGCAAAATGAAGAAAGTTTATCAGAATTCGAAAAGGCTAATAAACTGTATTCAATATTAATGGATTAGGTGCCATTCATTCTCAAGCAATTTACTCAAGCAGATTTATTGGCAATAATGGTTTAGATTCTGTACACTATCAGGCAGTTAATTCAAGCAGATTTATTAGTCCTAATGAATTAAAAGTCATATGTCCTCAAATAGTTAACTTGGACGATATCATTGATGTAAAAGTAATAGTTATATGCTGGTCAGTTGGTATAAGCGGGGATGAAATTCCCGCCTGCGATCTTTGATATAGTGGCCAGGGTATAAGATAACATATCTATTGTGCATATCGAAAAAGTTATTGAAGAGTTGGATGCTTGCAATTTTAATATTGGAATAAATTTTATAGATAAGTTTTGTAAGTATATTTTGTTATGATTTTTATGCCAGTAACAAAAAATTAATCGTGATTTTATTTCATGACATGTATTTCAAGTCTTGTGAAAAATGTAATTAACTTATCGACTTTTATTCGTCTGCATAATCAGATTAGTGTTATTGTATCAGTTATTTACAATTTAAGTATATAGTAAAGTACACGATTCAGAAATGTAGATTTGTAAAATTATGGTTGGTTGTAAAAAAAAAAAAAAATTTCTAACAAAAATTATTTTTTCTATTAAAAAAACATTAATATTATAAAAATTTATACACAGCCCTACAATAAGTAAATTTTTTTTTTATTAATAAAACATGTAAAAATGAAATTTACACTTACCTGTTATATAAAAAGGTTTAATTTAAATACTTGTGACTATCTTTTTTATGTTTTTAATTAAAGTTAATTAATAACAGTTTCAAATTCTTATAGTAATATCTTCTAATTAAGAAGTTGGATCAAAAATTTATGTACAGTGTATATTAAATGGATATTTTTATAATGAAAGTTCTAATATTAGAAGATTTACTTTAAAATTTAAAAATCTAAAAAAAAATTATTTCTAAGACTTTGATTGGGTGAGAAATAATAATAATAATAATAATAGTGCTTGGATCCGGATTTCTGACCAGATACCCGGATAAAAATCGGATTTATAATTATAAGTCTAAGATAAAAACCCGGATTTATTATCCGCTTTTCAAAAATAATATCGATATCCATTATCCTTTTTACATCCGGATATATCCGGATCCAAGCACTAAAAATGATGTCATTATCCAAATTAAAAACTTACATACGTACAGTACAAAGCGATGATAAAAAAAAAAGGTTAAAAATAAAATAAAATAAAAAATAAATAAAAAAAGAAAACGAGCGTTCAAATCTGCTTCGTGGTAATAATTAAAAATGACAAGAACGAAGTTTTACATATAAGATATCATTTTTCTATAATTGCAAACTCTGGCCAATCCTAACGTTCAAACTAAAATTTTATTCGATTTCCTTCTTTAGGCTTGTATCACTTGCAAAAATAAATAATTTCCATATTGATATATGACAAAAGAGCAAAAATGCTTAAATAATAAGTGTGTGTTATCTTGTAATAGTGAAGATGATGTGTTCGTTTTGTAAGCTGGATAAAAAATGTTCAATCAAAATTATTCTTTTCATACTTATTTTTATATACATGTCTTTCTGCACTAATGGCTTTGTACCGGAAAACCGAAGTGGTCATGAATCGGTACTAATTGGAAATAAACTTTACATTATGGGTGGTTTCGATTCAATCTCACCTCTAAATTCCATATCAAGAGAAATTTATTATCTGGATCTTTCGTCACCGTTTGATATTGACAACCCGCCTTTTGTAGACCTTACTAAAACTTCACCAATGTTATATGAAATTAGTAAAGGTTAGTCCCTTGACTTTATATGTATTTTACCAAGTTACTGAATAACTCATTACGCAGAGTATTTTTTGTCACTTTACATGATGTAAAATTTTCTTGTAAACTCTTTCGACAATCTATTTCACTTTATAATATTAAAGTACGATTATACTATTTCATTAAAAATTTACATCTCATGAAATTATCGATAAAAAGAGTGTCTATTTGTGAAGTTGGCTGAGAAACATATCTTCGAGGAAGCAATGATAATTGAATTTTAAAATTCTTAAAACTAAATCTAAGCATATTAAATATATATTTATTAGTGACATCACTGGCTGGTAGTATCGGCAATTCTCTTATTTTCCTTACTGGTGGAACGAAAAAGTATATGACAGATCAATTCGTTTTCATTTATAACGTGTACTCACAAAGATGGGAAATAGCTCAAGGGGCTCAACCAACTAGATCGATCTCAACAGTTACAGATCAATTTGTTGCATCGTATATATTTAGGGCCATGAAAAAATATTACATGTTAGCTTTTTGGGGCAATTATATTAAATGTGATGTCTCGAACTCGATATGTCCGCCTAGAAGCCATGCTACTGCAACATTGCTTCAAGATGGAAAGATTATTTACATAGGAGGTGCCAATCAGCAATCTTTTGGAAACAAAATAACCCTACGAAATATGCTAGATGTGTGTGTTAATATCTTGTTTCTTTTGTCATTTTATATTAGTGCAAAAAAAGATGATTTACCATAGAAATTCTTATTGCAGATCTCAATATATGATACACAATCTTTGACCTGGTCCTTAATGGTAGGTATTCCGTTATTTTGTTTCTTGAAATTTGAAACCCTGATACTTTATTCATGAGTTGTGTATTACATTTCTAGGAAGCGGACACGCCATTTACCATCCATCCTCGAGTAGGCCACACAGCAGTCCTAGCACCGAATAGTAAATCGATTATTTTATTGGGAGGAACTTCATCTTTACGTGAGAAATTGTCATTTTAATCGATTGTTAAGTTTATCAAATTATGAACTTTAATTATAATTTTGTTCTTAGCTGATGAAATAAACTAAATTGCCGCCTATCCAAATTTTCTTGTGTTGAAGATTGAACGATATATATGCATCTTTTTAGTTTTAAATATAAATTTACATATTTGGCACCTCAAACTTCTGTAAATCAACCTCCTAATATATCGTATCATACCGCTAACCTATATCAGAATCAAATGATAGTTTTTTTTGGTAATTATTGTTACTCTTAAACTATTAATATAAATTTTTCAACAGAATTAATTTACCTTTAAAAATAAATAGGATATATTATCAATGACACTGACATATCACAAGATAGAGTCAATTCAAATGTTTATTTATTGAATATAAAATGTTTAACTTGGATGTGTTATTTTGAACCTGGTATATCTAGTTGTGACAAGGTTTTTTTTAGTTTGAGATTAGTTAGCATTCTTATAAGTATCAAATTATTGACATACCACAAACTTCATGCTTTTCAAATTTATACATTTAAAAGGTCAGTTAATATGCTTCAAAACTTGGCTGAATATGTTCTTATTATAGTTGAATATTTGATTTATTTAGAATATGTTTTTTTTCACGATTATTCTGGGCAAAGTTTGGTATTTTTGAGAATTAGTAATTTTGGTCTTCTGTTTCTGAGTTTTATAAATATTAGAAGAGTGTCCATTGTTTTACGCGTGTTTATTCTTATTGGTTTTTTTTTGTATGTTCATATTTAGCTGCTTATTTATATTGGAGAATTCTTTACTATATGTTGCAACACTTTCTATTGGTTTTTGTCACTTCTATAATGGCTTTATTTTTTCGGCATTTATTCGTAAAAATCCTTCAAAAATGGTTATGACAGTGACAAGAATTGCTAGAATTGGTATTATTTTTATTTTAGTAATCATGTGGATCATTTCAATATTTAGAGAGATTTTTACAGATGAAGCGTTTAACAACCCATTTTTTACTTATACATGTATTAGACTCATTTTCCTTTGTGTTGCAATTATTTCTGCATGTGGTAAGATTAAGCATGAAAGGCATGAGGAGCGTTCAGAAACATTTATGAGATTGACAATGCTTAATAATAGAATTTGCATTGTGATTATTTTAGTAGTTACATGGATAATTACAAAGGAAACGTTTACCATTTTGCTATTATTACTTTTTACTAGCTTTTTTCATTGTATCTATTGTATGTATATGTGTATTTCTAATATTATGAACCAGAAGAAAAATCTCGTTGTGGAATTTTTAAGATCTACAACATTATCATGGATTCCATTCGATGAATTGCAAATTATTAAAAAAATTGGAGAAGGTGGATTTGCAACTGTGTATTTAGCTAAGTGGTACGACGAATATGTTGCACTTAAGCTTCTTCATGGATCTTAAAGTAATCCAGAGAGATTCATAAAAGAGGTAAATATTTGTTAACTTAATTGTTTTTCTGTCTATATTTTACTAACACATGTATTATGATGCAGTTAAAGGCATTTTATGATATTACAAGCAAAAATTCAAAATTTTTACGATGCTATGGAATATCTAAAGATGAGAAAACCACTAATGATTATATTTTAGTGATACAATATGCACAAAAGGGTTCTATGCGTCAAAATATTCGTGAAGTTGCACAAATACGATGGAAATTGAAGTTAAATTTATTGTCACATGTTGCTGAAGATTTACATACAATTCATAGTCATAATATTATTCACCGTGATTTACATAGTGGAAATATATTACAAGATTATCCTTTTAACGCATATATCGGCGACTTAGGACTTTCGGAATCAGTTAACAAAATATTGATGAGATCTGATGGAATTTATGGAGTATTTCCATATATAGCACCAGAAATTTTACGGAGAAAAGAATATACGACGGCATCTGATATATATTCATTTGGCATGATTATGTGGGAATTATCATCAGGAAGATTATCATTTTCAGATAAAAGTCATGATTTGTGCCTTCTTACAGAAGTTTGTGAAGGATTAAGACCAGCAGTTGTTAAAGATATGCCACAACGTTATACTGATCTTATGAAAAGATGTTGGGATGATGATCCAGAAAAGCGGCCAGAAACTTCTGAAATTTTTAAGCTTATTCAACTTTGGAAAAATGAAAAAAGTTTTTTGTCAAAATTTGAACATGCTGATAAAACTGTATTTAATAATAATGAATTAGTTGCCATGCATCCTCAAGCAATTTACTCAAGTAGATTTATTAGCAATAATGATTTGGATTCTGTACATTCTCAAGCAGCTTGTTCAAGCAGATTTATTAGTCATAATGAATTAAAAGTCATATGTCCTCAAATGGGTAACTCGGGTAATATTATTAGTAAAGAAGACAACATACTTGTTAAAGAATATTAAATTATATTAGTATTATGGCTTTATTTATTAAAATAAAAAGCATAGTCAAAAAGATAATTTATAGCATAAAATATAAAGCCTATAGCAAAAACATCTAACGTATTATGACATTTAGCTTTAAGTCTAATAAATTATGAATCGTAAGATGCTTATACATGACTAACATGACTATCAAATATGTACGTAATAAAAAAAAAGTATTTTTAATGAAATACGTAGCCCCAACAAGAACAAATCAGCATTAAAATTTCTTTTTTTGAATCGCAATGGAATCCAAAGACCCATAAATGACAAATGAACTATTGCAATATTATTTAATAATAAAATTATAGTCAATTTTCTTTAATAAAAGAAGAGTAGGTTCATTTTCTAAAACGATTCTACATTAACATGATAAAATTAGTTTATCGATCACTTTTTGTTTACATAATCAAATTTATTTATTAGACTTAATTATAATTTTTATTAGTAAAATTAGTTATAATTTTTACCAAATCAAAGCAATATTAAAATAAATTCAATAAAGGTACTCTCTTTATAAATAAAAAATAATAATTAAAAATGAACAAAATTACTGTAAAATCAATAAGGATATCTCCAACTAAATTAGTTAAAGCTTATGTCGTAACTAGTTACGGCAATCATTGGGACGATTCTACTTCCAACTTAAATGTTTCAATAAAAAAATTTTGCCTTTAAATTAAGGTCTGGTTTCGCTATTGCATTATTAGAAAGAACTTTAATAATGCAGAAAATTCGCAAAAAAAAAACTTTCTGTTAGTGTACTAAAAGAATTTTTTTTTTGACTTCTGATCTTGAAATTCGATTAGCTATCAAAATGCTTTAAGTTAGCTAGAGCAGTTAAAAAACCTTCTATCGCGTGGGAAAGCGCAAGGCTCTTGTTGATATTTAGCAAAAAAATTCGGGCAACGTTATTCGAGTTGACGGATCTAAAAGATGGTAAGCAGGGTGGGTGTCCACTTGAAACCAGCAGTTCAGGATGGTCAACATCAAGAGTGATGTCTGTGCAATTCTAAAATGTCATGTGAATAGCTAAAATTACGTCATAAGACTTATGTACTGCACGTACCGTACGTACGTACGTACGTACGTACATACGTACGGCGCAGGAAATTTAAAAATCTTAATATTCTATTAGCGCCACCCCACCTCCTTATTGTTGTGACATATAGTATTATTGTAATTGAAATTATCTGTAAAAAATCATGTTATATCATGCATTAATATATAAATAAATTATTACAAAACTTACCACTATCCTGGTGACACACATTATGTAGTTAAGATTGTGTTAATTTGTATTGGAATTAGCACGAACTCTATTTACTGTAAAAAATACCGTTATAGAACTTTTTATTCTGTTAACACACAGAATTGGTTAAAGTTAGGTTCGTATCTGATTCTATTTTGCGTTACTATAAAAAATTCTAATAAGTACGGAACTTATGTGGTTGAGCTACATTGTGCACTACTATAAGAAATTCTGTTACAGAACTAACTTAAAATTCTAGTAACACACAGTATGTAGCTAGTTTGCATTGAAATTATTGCAATTTCTACTAAAAAATATTGTTATATAACTTATTTATTCTGTTGACATGTAGTAAAGTAGAGCCGGGTATTATGGTACACTTAAGAATTGCTAATAGTAAAAGTTTTCGTAAAAAGCATATTTATTCACAATATTTATCAAAATAACAATATAACATTTGACCTACTATCTAGCAAAAAAAAAAAAATCTAGACTTTAAAAAAAAAACTTTATATTTTAAACTTTCAAAAATCATCAAAAAAAAATTGCAATGCTTTGTGAGGTTGTGGTATTATGTTACAATATGCATATTGATATTTAATATTGTATTGTTACTTTGCTGATCTTTCCTCAAAATTATCTAAATAGGAGAAAAGGAAAAAGCATATCAACTGCAATATGAAGCCTAATCTTCTATTAATTTTTAAAGAAATTGATTAATTTTTGCATCATTTGATTTGTCTCAGTAAAATGAACTGAATAATGCTAAAATTATTTAATTCTAATCAGTGAATATCTAGATATCATAAAAAATCTAAGTATATCAATGATACACCATACCATAATACCTAATTCCACCTTATGTGGTTAAGGTTGGGTTAATTTACCATAAGCTACTATAAAAATTTTATTACAGAACTTGCTTGCTATTTTGTTGACACATGATGTATGATTAATATTAAGTTAATTTGCACTAAAATAATATGATTTTTATAATAAGCATTATAAAAAATTCTATTACAAAGCTTGCCATTCTAGTAACAAACAATATGTGATAAGGTTGAGTTAGTTTGCATTAAAATTATGTTTTTTTTCATGAATTAGTATAAAAATTTATGTTATAGAACTTGCTATTTCAATGGCACAATCATAATTAAAGTGTTATCGAATTTGCTATTCTGGTAATGCAATATGCAGTTAAATTTAAGATAGTTTTATACAAATTATTGTAGCTTCTACCAAAAGTTACTGTAAAAATTTTTTCTTGCTATTCTAGTAACATATAGTATTAGGTTAGCATTGGTTAGAATTATATGTCAAGAAGTTAATATCAGGAAAATGTCTTGTCTAAAAAAAGAATTGTTGAAAAAATGTAATGCCAAACATATATCTTATCAAAAAAAATGTGCTGTAGATGAAATATTATATCAGGGAAATGAGTTTGCAGATAAATAATTTTTAGGAAATCATTCTGTAACTAATTTAGTTTTGTATCAAAAATTTTGTTATAAAAATTGCTATTTTAATGACATACAGTATATAGTTAAGATTAAGTTAGTAGTATTAGAATTATTATGTTTTCTATTGTGAGTTAACTGTAAAAAATCTGTTACAGAAC